TTTATTCAGACTTCTGAATGAACGCCAGGGTAATACAAATTCTCGGATCAGATGGGTTGAAGTGCATGAACATGCTTAGTGGGTTCACCAAATTAACAACGGTTTTCATAGTCGCTCTAGCAACGGCCTCGTCGGCTTTTGCTGCGGGTGATCCTGCCGCAGGCGAACGTCAGGCCGCTGCCTGTGCCGCTTGTCATGGTCAGGACGGTGCTACCCCGCTGGCACCGGATTATCCAAAGCTTGCCGGTCAGAACGAAAAATATACGCTTGCACAGCTGAAGATGATTCAGGACAACACGCGCAATATCGCGTTAATGGCAGGACAATTAAACGGCAAGTCTGAGCAGGATCTGGCCGATCTGGCTGCGTACTATGCGAGTCTGCCAGCCAAGGGTGGCCAGGCCAGCGGCACGGACGAAGCCTTAGCTATGGGTGAAAAGATCTACAAAGGTGGTATCGCAGACAAAGGCGTCGCCGCCTGTGCAGCCTGTCATAGCCCCAATGGCAATGGCAATACTCAGGCAGGTTTCCCGCGTATCAACGGTCAACCAGCGGCATACACGATTGCTCAGCTCACCGCTTACCGCGAAAAAGTGCGTGCTACAGACGAAGCCTGGGGCGGCATGATGCGCGGCGTTGCCGAAGGCCTGACGGACACCGAGATGGCTCTGGTTGCAGATTACATCCAGGGGCTGAACTAGTACGCATTTTTACGGCCTTAGATTAAGCCTGGGTTCATAAAGCCCGGCTATACTTGCCCGGTAAAATGCGAAGCGTCTGCACCTGACAGGTTCAGGGTAAAAAACGACGCTGAAAAAGAAATAAAGGAAAAGGGTTATGTCTCGATTTGCCGGTATTGTGGTGACGTCATTGTGTGTGCTGGTTGCACTGTCTTTCAGCACGTCTGTGCGTGCCGCCGAATTTATAGAAGGCACCCACTATGAAGTGCTGCCGGTAACCGTTGAAACACGTGATGCCAGCAAAGTCGAAGTGGTAGAGGTGTTTTCTTACGCTTGTGTCCATTGTTTCAACTTTGACCCCATGATTGAGTCCTGGAAAGAACGTCAGGACGAAAATGTCGATTTTTTCCGTCTACCGGCTGTTTTCAGCGCTGACTGGGAATTGCTGGCGCAAAGCTTTTATGCTGCCGAAAGTCTCGGCGTGACTGAGCAGGTGCATATGCCGATGTTTGAAGGTATTCATGTGAAAAACCAGGATTTACGTCGGGTGCCGCTGTTGGTGGACCTGTTTGAGTCTTCAGCTGACGTCAGTGAAGAAGATTTTAATACCGCGTACAACTCGTTCTCAGTGCGCAGTCGTGTACAGCAGGCGAAAGCCAAAGGCCGCGCCTATCGCGTAACCGGCGTGCCGAGCCTGGTTGTGAACGGTAAATATCTGATCGATGGCCGTATGGCAGGTAGTAATACCAAGATGCTGGAAGTCGTCGACTACCTTGTGAAGCTTGAACAATCCAACTAACTATGCAACTGAAAGAGCCTCGTCGCCAATCAGGATCGTTTAAAAATGCCAGGTAGTACGCAGACCCGAGACAAAGCCCAGCCTAAAGTGAAGCTTCCAGGATGGGAGCCTCAAATGATGTCATGGGCCAGGCGAGCCGAACGCTCGTGTGTTGTTGACCCTGTTGCCAATCAGCCATTGGCACAACAGTTACAAAACGAACCGCTTAACACAGCAGCCGTTGCGCCGCTGAAGTTGCTCTCATTTAATATTCAGGTAGGTATTAAGACCTCTGCTTACCGGCAGTACTTCACCAAAGGCTGGAAACACGTGCTGCCGCATGTGAGCCGAGGCAAAAACCTGAGCCGTATTGCTGATCTGGTAACAGGCTACGATCTGGTTAGCCTGCAGGAAATCGATGGCGGCAGTATTCGCAGTGGTTTTGTGAACCAGGTGGAATATCTGTCTCAGGTGGCAGGTTTTCCCTACTGGTACGCACAGCTCAATCGCGATCTGGGACCAATTGCGCAGCATGGCAATGGTTTACTGTCCCGTATAGAACCCATTGGTCTGGAAGACCACAAACTACCGGGCATCATCCCGGGTCGTGGCGCCGTATTTATGCGCCTGCCTTATGCCGGTGACGAAATTGTGGTGGTCATGCTGCACCTGTCGCTGGGCAAACAGTCGCGTGATCGACAGCTGGCTTATGTTGCAGAACAGGTGGCTCATGAGCGGCAGGTCATTGTCATGGGTGACATGAACACACCGGTCAGTACATTGCTGGAAGATTCGCCGCTGAAGCGCCTTAATCTGCAGCCCGCAGAGACTGTGGGACCAACTTACCCGGCCTGGGAACCGTCGCTGGCGCTGGATCATGTGCTGGTATCAGATAATCTGGTGATTAAAGACTATCAGGTGTTGAATTGCCGCGTATCCGACCATCTGCCGATCGCGGTAGAAGTGGCCGCACGAGCGCGGCCACCTGTTCAGTAGAACAAACCCCGGGCGGTAGTCTATTGACCACCACCTGCGATAGCGCCCGCGTCCCCAACCTGGGGTATTTCACAAGCCGTATCTAATAACTCGGGATACTCTTCCCGGAACGACGATTCACAGAATGCGATCACCGCTTTTGCACGTTCAATGACGTACGCGCGAATGTCCTGTGCATCGGAAGCGGTGAGTGCGTGATTGAAGCTGGGCATGCCTTTTTCGGCATAAGCGCCGCCAACTACAATGGCATCCCAAATGCTGTGAGTCTCCTGCCCGGCATACATGAGGTTAGCAACCGGTCCTGCAGTGCCAACACCTGGACCATGGCAAACGGCACAGTACTGGTGGAACAGGTCCTGTCCATGTTGCTGTTGCTCTGCTGTGTAATCCATTGCCGGAGGCGTGGGTACCGCGAGGTAGGTGACTTCCGGTGTGGGTAATTCAGCTTTGCCACCCAGCTTGTAAGTCAGAATACGACCTTCGCTGAGTACGTTGTTGCGATGGCGAGGTGCACCTGAAGCCAGCCCGTAAGCGCCACCCCAGCCCGCAACCACGGTAATGTACTGCTCTCCGTCGATGCTGTAACTCACCGGTGCAGCGATGATGCCCACGTGTACGGGGCTTTCCCATACCAGCTCACCGGTATCAGCGGTGTAAGCGGCAAACTGACCGTCTGCCCGACCCTGGAAAATCAGATCACCTGCCGTCGACAGAAGACCACCATTCCATGCGGTTGCATGTTGTACGCGCCATACTTCACGCTGTGTGACCGGGTCCCATGCAGCCAGGAAGCCTTTGATCGATTGCAGATTGTCGATGTTTTCCTCAGCGCTGGGTGGCGGTGCCTGTTCACGAAAGTCGATACCCAGGTTCCAGTCTTCGGGTGAATGACGGAAGGCATTGTCCTGTGCGTAATCGAAGCGCAGATCCAGGGCGGGGATGTAGACCAGCCCTGTGCCTGGATGGTAGGTCATTGGATGCCAGTTGTGGCCGCCCAAGGGTCCAGGCTGAATACGTTTCTTTTCGTTTGCATAGTGCGCTTCGGGATTTTCCACCGGACGCCCGGTTTCCTGGTCGACATGGGTAGCCCAGGTAATCGGTACGTAGGCTTCAGCGGAGATAAACTCACCGTTGGTTCTGTCCAGAACATAAAAGAAGCCGTTTTTAGGCGCCTGCATGATGACTTTACGCGCTTCACCCTGGATCTCGATGTCCGCCAGGATCATGTGCTGTGTTGCCGTGTAATCCCAGGTGTCTCCCGGGGTTGTCTGGTAGTGCCATTCACGCAGACCGGTGTCCGGGTTAAGGGCAACAATAGACGAGATGAACAGGTTGTCGCCGCCGCCGGGGCTGCGGATGTAACGGTTCCAGGGCGCGCCGTTGCCGGTGCCGATGTAGAGGAGGTTCAACTCCGGATCGTAAGCCATGGCATCCCAGGCGGTGCCGCCACCACCAACTTCCCACCATTTACCACCGCGCCAGGTGGCGGCAGCCATTTCCATATCTTCGGTTTCAAAGCCGTCTTCCGGGTTGCCGGGTACGGTATAGAAGCGCCAGTCCTGTTCGCCGGTTTCTGCGTCATAGGCGGTAACATAGCCCCGTACGCCGTATTCAGCGCCGCCATTACCAATGATGACCTTATCTTTGACTATGCGTGGTGTACCGGTAATGGTGTAAGGCCGATTTGGGAGAATAGTTTTAACGTCCCAGACAGGCACGCCGGTGCCAGCATCCAGTGCTACCAGGCGCCCATCGAGGGTGCCCACGTAGATCTTGCCTTTCCAGGCTGCAACACCGCGATTAACAACGTCACAACAGGCATATCTAGCCCAGGCTTTAGGTACTTCCGGGTCGTATTCCCAGAGTAATTCGCCGGTTTTGGCATCATGTGCCCAGACAACTGACCAGGTGCCGCTGGTGAACATTACCCCGTCTACGACAATGGGCGTGGCCTCCAGGCCTCTTTTTGTGCCGGTATCCCAGAACCAGGCGAGACCAAGGTCGTCGACGGTTTCCTTATTAATCTGCGACAACGGGCTGTGGCGCTGCTCGTCATAGGTTCGACCGGTAGATAGCCAGTTGGCGGCATCTGCTTTGACGATCCGTGCTTCATCAATGCTGGCCGTAGCCTGCTGTATTTCAGCACTGCGGCTGGCAACGATGTTACCCGTTGCAGAGACCGCCTCTGCGGTTGGTGTTTCGGTCGCTGCTGGTGTTTCAGTGGTTGCGGATTCTGAGCAGGCTGTCAGCCATAACAAAGCAGCCGCAAGCACGCTGGTGCGGTAAAAGACTTTCATTGGGGTCCCCTCCAATTGTTCGTCAACAAGACTTATTCAAGACAGGAAAGTGTAACCATGTGCTGGTGTAAAAACACCCCGCCACCACGTGATTTGACGTGTTGTTGAGGATGATTAGAACTAAACCAATGGCTCGGCAAGGTTACTAGTAAAAATCGATATACCCCAGCAATTGCTTCAGTGATCGGACAGTGCTAAAAAGCAGCATAGTGCTACAAAAGTAGCAGGCACAGGCAGGAGGGTAGAGCAATGGTGCACGGCAAGCATGTACATCTGACCCGTCGGGAACGGCAGATCATGGATGTCCTCTACGCACAGGAAGAAGCCAGTGCGGGAGATATACAGCAACAGATTCCGGATTCGCCCAGTTATTCCGCGGTGCGAGCGTTATTGCGCAAATTAATCGATAAAGGCCACATCGAATTTCGAGCGGATGGCGCCCGTTATGTTTATCGCCCGTTGTTACCTAAAGCAGACGCCAAAGACAGTGCCATCACACGCCTGGTGAACACATTCTTCAACGGCTCCAGAGCCAGCGCGGTTGTGAACCTGCTCGGGGATGAAGGCGGTAACCTGTCGGCGGATGACATCGAAGCCATTAAGTTACAGTTAGCCAAACTTAAACCTACAAACAAGAACGAGCGTTAGGCTCATGAATCTGGAACTGCTGCATGGCGTTCTGGCGGCACAGGAATGGCTGAGTCTGCGTGAAGTGTTGCGTTTGTTATTGTTGTCCACGTTGCTGTCGATCTGGTGTTGTGTTGCATTTCCTGCAAATGCATCAAGCCGACGCGTGCTGCTGTTGACGGCGATTGTGTCAATGGCGCTGCTACCCTGGCTGCTGCGATCTATTAACCTGCAGTGGCAGCTGCCGGTAGACATCCTGCCGCCATTTCACCTCGAGCTGGGTATACCGAACCTGCTGGTGTTTATCTGGCTGTCGGTTGCGGTTTTTCTGATGGCTCGTCATCTGTATCGTGTTCGCAGTGAGCTCATGCGGGTTGCCGCTTTACCTGGCGTTTGTGACCCAGCGCTGCGCAGTGAAATCGATGGGTTACACGCAGCGCTTTTACCTAACTACCCTAATCTGCCGATGCCCGAAGTGCGCCTGGGTGAGCAGGCCTGCGCAACAACATTAAGGGGGGCGCTGCTTGTATTGCCGCACAACTGGCCAACGTTCAGTGCCGACACTCGTCGCAGTATTTTGGCCCACGAGTTAACCCACATCGCCAGAGGCGACGATCGCTGGTTGCTGGTGTTGCGATTATTGCTGCTCAGCTACTGGTGGATGCCCTGGTTAAGAAAGCTGCAGCAGGTGTATGTCCAGTCGATGGAAGAAAGCTGCGATGATATTGCCAGTGAACTCATTGGTGCTCAGCACACCTACGCCCATGCGCTGTATGAAGTTGCACTTAACCGTTCACCGATCAGACCAGCGGAACAGCACCAAATGTATCTGGCCCATATTCGTGGTCATCACCTGACCGCCAGAGTGGCTCGTTTCGGTCATCGCCGGGCACTCGAACTGGATACCGCCGGTGTGTTCTGGACACTCATACTGATTACCCTGTTGGTCGTCTGGATTTCTGGGGTACAGCCCGTGATTGTGGACAAAGACCGTAGTCCTCTCAACTCGGCGCAGATCTATCAGCTGTCTGTATCAACACCGACTGTGCCTTCGTTGTATCCGCTTGTTACGGAACAAGGTGCTGCCGCGCAGATCAACAGCCAACAAGTGTGGCGATTGCAGAATCCGGTGGAGCAGCCTCGCGCGCATCATCAGGACCGCTACGGCTTCGCACAAAGTGCGCTGCGAGCCAGCCGTTACCCACCGATTTATAAAGTGATGGATATACAAAGCAACCCTGTTGCCATGAGACGCGCCATTGATGCGCGCAGATTGAACTTTTCGCCGCATGTAAAAGCCGTCAGATACGAGCAGAGGTTTTTCTTTCGTATCGGCAGGCGTCCGTAAATCCATGAGGAGAACTGTATGCATGTTTACACACCATCATTACGCTACGCACCTGCGTTGCTGCTGGCCTGGGGTATCACCTTCTGTCTGTTTCTGATTATGGAATTAGCAATCAAAGGTGGTGACGTCACGGTCCTGCCGCGTCCGCCTGGGTTGCCCGTGGACCTGGTACCCAGAGAGGATGAGCCCCCCGTTACCAGGCCTGACAGAAAAGTGAAAAAGCCGCCAAAGGTTAGTCCTCCACCTGCAGCACACATCAGCCCTGAACCTGAAGGCGCGGCAACTGAGATATTCGAACCGCGATTCACGGCGCCGCCCCGCACCGATCCCCTGATCGCTGCTCAACCGGATGGCGACATGATTCCCATCATGCGTGTACCTCCTGAGTTTCCTCAGCGGATGTTGTCCCGGGGTGTTTCAGGTTGGGTCCTGGTTGAATTTACGGTTGATACGCTGGGTCGAGTCGTGTCTCCCATTGTTATCGACGCGCAGCCAGCCAATGGTTTTCAACGCGCCGCGCTGGATGCAATTGCGCGTTATAAATTTAAACCCCGGGTTGTGGATGGTCAGAGTGTGCCGGTAGCCGGTGTACGTCAGCGGATTTTCTTCAACCTGCAGAATTAGGCCAGTTTTACCAGGCGGCTTGCCGGTCCCGGCTGATAACACGGGGCCGGCCTTTTTATCTCTCTCAATTGTCTGAGAACCAGTTCTCGTCTTCGTTTTGATCTTCAGGCGAGAATGAGTCGATTAGAAAACCTTGCGTTATATAAGAAATGGATTTTCGGTTCTCGCATTTTGAAATCTTGACTGGTGCAGGCACGCTGCTGTTGTGCCTGTTTTTTGTCTGTGTGTTTACTGAGGCTTCAGCCATCGAAAACACACTGGCGGCACAGTTGTCGCAAAGCATTGAAACGGAAGACCTCTACTGGTCCAGTGTTGAAGTCAGCGGCCAGAGTGCGGTGATCAGTGGTGCGGCACCGGATGTGCCGGCCCGACGCGCGGCTGAACAGCGGGCCTGGGCTGTCACGGGGATATCCTCCGTTGATAATCAGATTCAGGTCATCGGTGAAGCGGGCACCTGTCAGCAGCAGTTGAACGACTACCTTGCTACCGAGACCATCAATTTCAAAACTGGTAAAGCTGAAGTAGCTGAAGAGAGTTTCCATGCTTTAAGCATGCTGGCGATGATCTTGCGCACCTGTGATTCGCTGGTAGAAGTGGCCGGCCACACCGATGGCCGTGGAGATGCGGAGATTAACCTGCATCTGAGTACGCGCCGCGCCGAAAGCGTTGCTAAACATCTGGTGCGATACGGTGTGAATCCGGCTCAGATAAGAGCCAAAGGGTATGGTGAGAACCAACCCATAGCAGACAACAGCACGGATGCTGGACAAAAACTCAATCGGCGCATTGAGTTTCGAGTGCTTGGAGAAATGGCATGATGTTCTTGATTGGTAAAATGTTTATTTACCTGCTGCTAGCTGGCGGCATTGGTGGCGCTGCCGGATGGCTGATGCGTAATCTTCAGGCTCAGCGCACCGAGGAGAACGCGCAGCGTTCAGTGACTGATGTAAAAGCAAAACTCCCCCAGCTTGAATCTCTGCTGCGCGGCCGTGATGAACAGATACAGAAGCTTAAAGCAGAGATTGCAGATCGGAAAACCGCTGCGTCTGAGATGGAGCAGGAACTGCGTGCAGGGGAACAGGCGTTGCGCGAACAACAGCGCATCAGTGCGCGTCTGCAGCAAACGGTAGATGCTCGAAAATCAAAAAGTCTGACAGACTTCGATATGTCCGGAGATGTTGAGCAGGACACAGACACCACCGATGCAGATAATCTGATCGCCGAATTGTCTGCGGAAATAGCCCGACTTAAAGCAGAGCTTGCGCAACCCGCGCCTGCACCTGCCGCAGATGCAGATGAAACGCTGTTACAGATTGAGGCTGAGGCGCTACGAAATAAACTGGTTAGCACTGAAGGCAAACTTTCCGCCATTCAGGCTGATCTGATGCAGGAACAGAACAAAGTGTCAGAGCTTGAGCGTGAGCGCGAGTTGCAGAACAAATCTCTACAGGTACTACATCAGCAGCTTGAGCTGGAACGCACCCGGCGAGTTGCCAGCGGCTGAAATCACATTGAGTGGTGTTGATGGCCGGCCTGGCGCAAATCAGATCGGGTTACCCAGACTGCCACCAGGATAACGCTGTACACCCCGGCAGACAGCAGTACCGCCTGCCCCGGACCGACGCTCTGGGCCATATATCCCAGCAATAAACCTCCCAGCGACATCAGGCTGTAGCCGATGGTGTGAATGCCCATGACACGCCCGCGAAGCTCATCCGGTACCTGCATCTGCAGAATAGTGACGGATATGACGATGTATACCGAGCCGCACAGGGCAACAGAAAAAACAGCAATCAGAGCAAGTACAAAGCTGCCTGCGTGGGTTGCGCCGACAAAGCCAATAAGAGCAACAACAGACAGAGCGGTACCTGCAAACATATAGCGCCCCAGAGGTTTGTCATGATCCAGGCTACCCACCAGCAGCGTGCCGATGATGGAGCCGATGCCGGTTGCAGACAGCAGGTAGCCGTAACCCTGCTCGCTGCTGCCCATGAGACCAACAAAAACCGGCAGTATCTGGATATAGGAATTGGCGAACAACATACCGGCAAATGTGAGCCCTATGAGCCACCTGAAAATCTGTGTCTGCCAGATGAAAACAAGTCCCTGTTGCAGCTGTTCTATGGGGGAATGTTCAGTCGGCTTCGGCAGCGCGATATGCAGGCTTGAAATCACCATGAACATGATCAGAAACCCGCAGCCGCTCAAAGCGAAAATCAGCCACGTGTCGCTCATGTAGATTAACAAACCGCCTAACGCAGGCACCGCCATGCGGGTGGATTGCCAGGTAAACGAGTTAAGGGCAACAGCACTCATAAACGCAGGTCGTGGTACCAGGCTTGGATAAATGGCTTCGCGGGTTGGCCAATCAAGGCCGGTGATGAGTGAAAATAGAGCAGCGATAGTGACTACATGCCAGACCTGAACCAACTCCAGGGCATCTAAAACTGCCAGCACAAACAGCAGAATGGCGATGGCTGCCGAAGTGATCTGCAGAATCTGCCGTTTGTCGAAACGGTCAGCAATGACACCACCAAATAGCGTCATCGCAATATTTGGTAGAGAAGCCGCGGCGCCTAAAATGCCTAACTGCAAAGCGGAGTCGGTGAGTTCGTACACCAACCAACCCTGGCCCAGCGTAATCAACCGGGTGGCGCCAACAGATGCAAAGGAAGCGAGCCAGAAGCGGCGATAAGGCATGGAACCCAGCGCCGGGTAACGTTCAACAACTTGTTGTCTGAAAGATTGATGCGACAGGTTCATTATTCAGCGACGTCGGCGTGGACGTTACACCATAGCCTTCGTTTTGCGCGTGCACAAACGCTGGACACTGTATTATCCGGCCGCATAGGCTTAGGTGGCAAATAAAGCAGCCGGGCTGAATCCAAAGCCGGCTGGAAGTGTTCATAACAGGGTTTGAGTCACTATGTCAGATGAAACATCTATCAGCGATGTCGCGTTGCTTGATGCAGACATTGATACGCTGCAGGACGCCATGGCAAGTGGTGCGCTCACCAGTGTCAGGTTGGTCCAGTTTTACCTGCAACGGATAGAGCAATATAACCACCAGGGCATTGGCCTCAACGCGGTGCAATATCTCAACGCCGACGTCTTGGCTGATGCTCAGCGCCTTGATGCTGAGCGTGCAGCGACAGGGCCGCGCTCGGCCCTGCATGGCATCCCAGTGTTAGTGAAAGATAATTACGAAACAGCCGGTATGCCCACCAGCGCAGGTTCTATTCTGTTTGCCGGGTTCAGCCCTGACCGGGATGCTGAACAGGTTTCGCGATTGAAGGCAGCAGGCGCCGTCATTCTTGGTAAAACCACCATGCACGAATTTGCTTACGGTATTACCAATCAGGGTTCCCGTTACGGCAGTGCAAAAAACCCGTACGTACCAACGCGTAATCCCGGTGGTTCCAGCGGTGGTACCGGTGCGGCCATAGCAGCGAATTTTGCTGCAGTGGGTATGGGCAGCGATACGTGTGGTTCGATCAGAATTCCAGCTGCGCAGAACAATCTGGTTGGCCTTCGCGGCACTATGGGTTTGAGCAGCCGAACGGGCATCATCCCCCTGTCCTCGACCCAGGATATAGGTGGCCCACTGGCACGCTCAGTGAAAGATCTTTGCCATGTACTTGATGCAACGGTTGGCTTTGATCCCGCAGATCCGCAAACCGCTGAAGGGGTTGGCAAGCTGCCGGATAGTTTTTATTCCCACCTCGCACCGATGCACAATGCGCGTGTCGGTGTGCTGGTTGACTGGATGCAGCAGGATGCTGACGACCAGCCGGTGGCTGCCGTGGTACGGGCGGGCCTTACACAGATGGCGGAACAGGCAGGCTGGCAGATACAGGACCTGAATGCGCCAGATCTGGTTGATGCTTTACAGCAGCCTTTGAACGGTCACTTTGTGCTCATTCATGATTTCAAACACGATATCAACGCCTACCTGCAGGCTAACCCGGAGCTCGGGTACGCCAATGTTGATGCTTTGCTTGCTGATGGCCGAGCGCACCCCAGTATCATCAGTTCGCTGGAAGCTTCCGCAAGCATGGGAGATTCGACCTGGGGTACCTACTGGTATGAGCGCGGTCGCCGTGATGTGATCAGACGACAGTTGTTGGCCATGTTATCCAAATATAACGTTGATGCGCTTGTTTATCCTACGATCCGGCGCATCGCTGCACCCATCGGCGAAGAGCAGATGGGCACCAATTGCCGTCTGTCCGCTAACTCAGGTCTGCCCGCCATATCGGTGCCGGCTGGCTTTGCGCAGGGGGTTCCGGTGGGGCTGGAAATTCTTGCGGAATCCTGGAGTGAGCAGAAATTGCTGAATATGGCGCTGAGTGTGGAACAAACCCTGGCCATGCGGCGGCTACCGCCGGCAATGCCTTGAACGAACAGCTGCCAACGTCTGCGCCGGCCGAACGCAACAAAGCCCCAATTCTTGCGGTTCTGTCTGCGGCTTTCAGCGGCGCGTCGCCTGAAGTTCGCGATGTTTTGGAAATCGCCAGTGGCTTTGGCCAGCACGTTGTGCATTTTGCGTCTGCATTGCCTGAAATCTCCTGGCAGCCATCAGATCCGGATGCATCTTCCCGCGCAGCGATTACCGCGCGCCTTGCGCACTATGGCCTGCCTAACGTCAGCCTCCCCATCGAACTCGATGTGCTGGCGACCTGGCCAGATTTACAGGTTGATGCGGTGGTGGTGGCTAATCTGCTGCACATCAGTCCCGCCGCAACTCTGCAAGGTTTGTTTGGCGGTGCTCGTCAGGTATGTCGAAGTGGTGGTTTATTGCATCTATATGGACCGTTTAAACAAGGCGGCGCACATACTTCAACAGGCAATGCAGAATTTGACCTGTCGCTGCGGCAGCGAAATCCGGACTGGGGAATCCGGGATGTGGAAGCTGTGATTGAGCAAGCGCAGGATCTGGGCTGGGTGTTGGAAGCGCAAACTGATATGCCGGCGAATAATCTCTCTTTGCTGTTTCGGCTGATCAACAAATGATGGGTGCTACGAGCGAGCTGTTTGCTGCGCCGAATATGAGTTTATATCAATACGCCCATGTTCTGCTGCTGTCCGCTACTGTCCAGGCGCAGGGCGCTGGCCCGCAGGAACGCACCAGATGCAGGACTTCCCCGCGTTGATGATGAGGGTGGTCCGATGTTCGAACTTGATATCCATAGCTGGTTTCTGACCAGGCGCCACCATCTCTTACGGACGTGTACTCGATTGCGGTAATCCTATCTTGCGCGCCAATCGACTGTCTGGAGACTTCGATCAATTGCATAACAAGTTCTATATTGAGGTCATGCGCGAGCCGAAGCTCGCCTTCAAACCAGTCGCTTGCTAGGAAAATGGACCGGTTGCAGCTGTATAGCTGAACAGTTTCACCTTCGCGCTGACCCGAGCAGCTGCCTGCGGCGCGTTTTGCCCAACCATCCGGCATTTCGAAGGCGTCCCAGAAAACCTTCCAGTAAAGCCCGTAGTCACCGCAGAACTCGACTCTGGAGGGTGCCTTCTCATCGATTTTTCCCATGCGCTCCATGATTTCCACGTAAACACGATTGTCATGAGGGATTACATTGCATTCGCCTGCTGCAAAGTTATGACATGCGAACAGTGCACACAATATGGCCAGTTTCTGTTTCATCTGCCTAAGTAATGTAGCGTTTCGATGAGGGCTACACCCTTTTCGCGCTGCAGGTCACGTAGCCATTTATCCGAACTTGATGGGCTCCACGAACCCGGATAGTGAAACTTCGGATGAACCCAGGCGCAGCTTTCTGCGCACGCTCGAACAAATTTGGACACATCACCGTTTGCAAATGTCGGCGGTTCGAGCATGTAAACCGAAAAGCCGTAGGCCTCTTCCGACCAGGTACCACCATCCGTGACCTCCACATATTCTATGCGGGCAATTTCTGCTTCAGGAGCAGAAACGGCTTTTACAGCTGAAAACAGTTCTGCAACTTTCTGCAATGAAAGGTCAAAAGTCAGATCTACTACCTCATGTGAGTCTGGGGCAACGGCGTGTCTTGTGGTTTTGCAAAATAGTGGGTACCGGTCGAAACATATGCCGGTCGCAAACTTGCGCCAGCCGCTTTCCGATTCGTACACATTCCACCTGGCCGCCCAACGGGGGTAATTACCTTCGCAGTATACTAAGTCAGTGGGTGGCCTCTGGAGCGCATCGGTAAGGGTATTAAAGGTAGTTGTATGTCCCTGCGTTGATGCATCTACAGGTGTGCATTCGTAATTGCCTGCGAACACAATGGATGAAAGCAGGAGGCCTGCTGCTAACGAAGTGAAATTCCTCAATATTGTGAGCGGGTGTGACATAGTCCAGCACTCCATGGTTTTTACCACTCAGTAATGTGGTGGTGGTGGCTCCTGGGCAGGGTCTCCCATTTCAACGTCACCACTCTGCAGGCGTCTCACTAACAGTGTTAAACGCCGCTCCATCTCAAAATAACGTTGCTGTTGCACAACCAGGGCATCGTTGAGTCGCGCGATGGTGTCGTCGGTGAACTCCAGGCGGCTTTCAAGCTCTGTAATTCGGTCGTGGATAAGGTCTGGCTTCATGATTATGCTCATTGATGCAGTTTAATTGGGACGCTGTCGGGTGGCACACCGACAAACGCAGAATACGAACGTGACTGAGGAAAATTATACCGGCTTTATCCTGCAGGCTACCTATCGAGTGCAGCAGGGTAAACCCACAGTTTACCTGTTTGGCCGCCTGCTGGACGGGCGGACATTTCTGGTGCGTGATCATCACCAGACACCGCATTTCTATGTGGACGCCGCTGCCCGGGAAGCGGTCGGCGACCACATCCGCTCAACGGGTGACAAGTTCAGTTTTGCAGGCGAACCGCTGCTGTGTGTAGACGTCGCGATACCTGCTGATGCGCCACCACTGCGTGATCGTTTGCAGGCTCAGGGATTTAAAACCTACGAAGCTGACGTGCGTTTTGCCATGCGCTACCTCATAGACCGTAACATCAAGGGCGGGGTTGAGATTGAAGGCCACGCCATGGCTGGTGATGGCACCGATCTCGTATTTGACGACCCCACACTGAAGCCCGCCCAGGCGGTGATCAGCCCGCGGATAATGGCCTTTGATATTGAAACCAACCCTAACACCGACTCACTGTTGGCGATTGCTTGTTATGGCTACACCGATGATGGTGCCCTGCTTGATCGGGTTATCGTTGTAGACAAGCGTGATCGCAAGATGCCGCCGCAGGCAATCCGCGTGCGCAGCGAACGCGATGCGCTGGAACTGTTCTGCCGGTGGATGCGGGACTTTGATGCAGATGTGATCACCGGCTGGAACGTCATCGACTTTGACCTGACGCAATTGGCTAAAGTTGCTCAACGCGTGCGGTTTGACTTGCAGCTTGGCCGTGAGCGCGGGCGTATGCAGATTCGACCCCCGCAGGGCTATTTTGGTAGCGGGCATGCGGTGGTGCCGGGGCGCATAGTTTTAGATGGTATTGATCTGTTGCGTTCTTCGTTTGTGAAGATGGACGACTATTCGCTGGACGCCGTTGCGCAGCAGGTACTCGGCGAAGGTAAAACGTTAGGCACAAAGTCAGCGGACAATCAGCACCCTGATAAAGTGGCTCAGATTCTATCGACTTATGAAACGGATCTGCCAAGCTTTACCCGGTATGCGCGAACCGATGCCCGTCTGGCTCTGCAGATACTCGAATCGCTCAAGCTGATTGATCTGGCTTTTGCGCGATCTGCCCTCACAGGTATGCCGCCTGATCGTGTTGCCGCCAGCATTGCTTCCTTTGACTTCCTCTACCTCAGCGCGCTACATAAAAAGCGTCTGGCGGCGCCCAGTGTTGTGAGCACTCGCACTTCTGCAGGTCCGCAGTCAGGTGGCGCGGTGTTCGAGCCTCGCGTGGGCATTCATCCTAACGTCTGGGTGTTTGATTTTAAGAGTCTGTATCCCAGCATTATCCGCACTTTCAATATTGATCCCCTGGCGCATGCACAAAGTGAGCAGCAGGAGGATTGTATTGCGACTGAAAACGGTTGTCGCTTTTCGCGCGAGCCGGGTGTGCTCCCGGCCATGCTGGATGACCTGTTTCCCCAGCGCAGTCAGGCAAAAGCCGCGGGTGACGAGATTGCCTCTCAGGCTGTAAAAATACTGATGAATTCATTTTATGGGGTGCTGGGTGCACCCTCATGCCGGTTCTATAACCCCGCAATCGCCAATGCCATTACCGGGCAGGGCCGGCATCTGTTGGGCTGGAGCAAAGCGTGGTTTGAAAGCCAGGGGTTTCAGGTGTTGTATGGTGATACGGACAGCGTTTTTGTGGCTTCAGGCTATGCAGATGCCCAGCAGGCCAACGAGCTCGGACAAAGTCTGGTCACCCGGTTTAACGCCGATCTAACGGACTATCTCAGTGAACGCTATGGGGTAGACAGCCGGCTTGAACTGGAATTTGAGAAACTCTACACCCAGCTCTTTCTGGCGCGGGTGCGCGGTGGTTCTCAGGGTGCTCGTAAGCGTTATGCCGGCAAAATATTTGGCAGTAACCGGATTGAATTTGTTGGCATGGAAGTGGTGCGACGAGACTGGACGGAACTTGCCAAGATCATCCAGCGAAATCTCTTTGAACGGCTTTTTCAGGGTGAAGAGGTGGCCAGCTATTTACAGGACGTTATCAGGCAATTCCGTTCAGGGGCGCTGGATCATCTGCTGATCTATCACAAAGGGCTGCGTAAACCGGTGAGTGCGTATACCAGCAATGTGCCGCCTCATGTGCAGGCCGTAAAGCAATCGCTGTCGCCTCCACCCAGAGTGGTGGCGTACGTTATTACAACCGCAGGTCCCCAACTGGTAGATGAGGCTACCGCGCCCCTGGATCGTGATCATTACCTGCAGAAACAGATTCTGCCTGTAGCGACGCCAGTATTAGAGGCGCTGGGTCTGGCGTTTAACCAGGTGATTGGAGACGATCGGCAGATTGCGTTGTTTTAAGCAGGCCCAGATTGAGTGCGGCGCAGATTAACAGATAGGCGATCCCCAAATTTGCATAGATTTCCGGCAACGCCAGCCACATCAACAAAGCTGTGCCCAAAACCAGACGCAGCCATTCGAACCATACAGCACTGCGGCGCCCTTCCATAACAAAGCCCTGAACACAGAAGCCGAAAGTGAGCCAGGCGGTGGTCGCAAGTACAAGTGGCTGGGAAAGCTCGCGGGCAAAACTCAACAGTACAAATGCAGCGCCTACGTGAAGCCAGAACCCAATGAAACTGGTCACAGCCCCATAACGACTGGTGACAGGTTGGAATTTGGCCGCCTGCCAATCCGCTGGCGTGCTGGCAATGCCCGGTGCATCCCAGGCAGGGCTTTTAAACCAGACTTTAATCTTGTCGCTGAGTCTGGGTGTTTGCCAACTCTGTTGAGCGGTATCGAGCCAGGCGTGGACGTTAGCCCATACCGGGTTCCAGCTTTGCAGCTGGCGGGTAATACCATAACGACAGGGTTGATCTGTTAGTTCCGGTTGGTAGGTCCCAAACAGACGATCCCAGAGGATAAACACACCACCATAGTTTTTATCGATGTACATGGGGTTCTTTGCGTGATGCACGCGATGGTTAGATGGGGTGACCATGATTTTTTCTATGACGCCGAGTTCGCCGACGTGTTCAGTGTGCACCCAGAACTGATAAATCAGATTAAGACTGCCGACGCTGATCATGACCTCTACAGGTACGCCAATAATATAAAGGGGTAGGTAGAAAATACCGTTCAACCAGCCGGTACTGGTTTGTCGTAAAGCGGTGGACAGGTTGTACTGTTCACTTTGATGGTGGACCACATGAGAGGCCCACAGAATGCGCCACTCATGCCCGTAGCGGTGAGAAAAGTAGTAGCCCAGGTCATAACCGACAAAGGCGAATACCCAGACCCACCATTGGCCGGGGTCCAGCGCAAACAGCGTGAAGTTTTCCGTGAGCGCGCCAAAGGCGATACCGATTAAGCCGAGCTGCACCAATCCGCGCAGGCGCGACAGCATGCCGAGCTGCAGGCTGTTGAGGGTGTCAGCAAGGGTAAAAGTGTTGCGCTTGGTCAGCCAGCCGAATAGAAATTCGCAGCCTACAGCCAAGACAAAAAACGGCACCGCATAGGTGACGTAGTTCATGGCTCGATTTCACCCAGCAACTCGGACGACTCAATCAGCCGGCCCTCCGCCAGCGCCGCTGCGTGGAGGGGTGCGATGGCCTGATAATCCGGGCCGCCTGAAGTCATCGCATCAAGTGCACTTTGTTCTGGTCTGCTTTGCGACATTCCGGGTTCCTGTTGCCTGTCGTGTTACAGGAAGTTGTTTGGCCAGATCATGGTACGCCACATGTGCGCGCTGGGGCTATTGTCAAAACCCAGCCCCTCTGGGGGTTGGTTGAAATTGTCTTCAATGAGCGGCACAAAGGGAGACAGATCCAGCTCAACATCAGGTTCGAAGGCGTAAAAATCATTGACCACCACCTGCATAGCGGTGTCGTACCATGTGTGCTGGCGAGCGCGATCCCTGTCAGCGTGAAGGTAAGCAGGCACCACAAAGTCTTCTCCAAAAGCACTTTTATAAAAAGCGGGATAGTCGTAGTTGTAGTCGGGCTCAGCAAAATAGCGCAGTGCCTGATGGTAACGCACCGCCCAGGTTACCTCGGGGTGCACATAAGGCTCTATTAAGGCTGCAGCCCAGTAGCCATGATCTGCCCGAATCAGGTTGGTCACTGCAATATCGTGAAGCAGGCAGGCAAGGATGACCGTTTCCGAAGCACCTTGCTGCATTGCGCGATGCGCGCTTTGTAACATGTGTGCGTAGCCGGTGGGTTGCAGCGCTACGCGAAGTTGATAGAAATCAATCAGTGTGGGTGCCGCGGGCATCTCGGGTAATCGCGGATCGTCTCCCATCAGAAATCGTCCACGGGGCAGTCCAGGCGGGTCAACGGCTTCAATCTGCCCCAGCCACGAGGGTTTAACCTGCACTTCGATACCCTCCATCATCAGAATTTCCAAAGCTTCAGCTCTGGCAAGCGGGGATCGGTTGGTGCCTGTCGTTTTACTCACAGCGTCTGCTGATCTGCGTACCAGTTTTTCGGTGGCGGGGCTGAATTGTGGTTTTTGTGTGCTGGACATTGGGCGCGGGATTGTGCCGAATTGAGAGCTTAAAATCTATGGCGGGTCTCCGGCAGTTGGTCAGGTTTCCATCGCGGTGCGCATCATTGCCCTGGACATTGTCCGGACGTACAACAACATCAGGTGCTGTTTCCACTCATATGCCTTGCGCCAGCTGCAGCGGCAGCTCTAAGTTAGGCGTTTTGTGGACAGGAGCAAAGTGATGCGAACAGGTGTACTTGGGTGTGTGCTGCTGTCATTAGCTGCGTGTGGTGTGGCAGAAACCAGACAAGCACCTGATGCGCCAGCTGACGCGCCCGCGGTTGCAGCAAACGTCACGACCGAGAATGCCGCGTACTCATTCACCGCGCCCTCACGTGATGGGATTGGCAAGTGGTACATGGGGCGGGAAATTTCCCATGTCATGGGTCATCTCGGCGCGGGCTGGTTAGAACGCCCCGAGCGCGAACAGATTGAGCGAACAGATCTGCTGATCGAAAACCTGCCCCTGCAGCCCGACAGTGTGGTTGCAGATATCGGCGCAGGCACAGGCTATTTCAGCTTTCCGGTGGCGCGCAGGCTGCCGCAAGGTCGCGTTCTGGCGGTGGATATTCAGCAGGAGATGCTGGATATCATTCGTCAGCGGGCCCAGGCGATGAACGTGGACAATGTTGAACCCATTCTGGGCAGCATCAGCAATCCGGGGCTTGCGCCCGACTCTGTTGACGTGATTTTTATTGTTGATGCTTACCATGAGTTTTCCCATCCCCTGGAAATGGGGCAGGCGATGGCGGCTGCGCTCAAACCGGGTGGTCAGCTGATACTGATTGAATATCGTGGCGAAGATGCACGTGTGCCGATCAAGCGCCTGCACAAAATGACGCAGGCACAAGCTCTCGCCGAGATGGCTGCTTTAGGCCTGCGCTGGGTCAGAACCGAAGACTTTTTGCCGCAGCAGCATTTCCTGGTTTTCACCAAGTAGCGCAAGCTGAGCTCAGCTGCGCATCATGCCTTCCTGTGCCACTGAAGCTATATGTTGGCCTGAGGAAGAGTAGATGTGGCCGAATGCCAGTCCTCGTCCACCATCAGCGGCAGGGCTCTGAGTTTCGTAGAGTAGCCACTGGTTGAAATCCACCGGCTGATGAAACCACATGCTGTGATCCAGGCTGGCACCACTCATCTGACCCTGATCAGCGTGGGGTCGCCAGGCGGTGTCCAGCAGGCAGCGATCGCTGGCATAAACCAACAGCGCGGTGTGCAATTTGTTATCTTCCGGCAGCACTCCGTTCATACCTAACCAGACCTGTTGGTGTGCCGGCAGCGGAACGTCCTCAGTCAGAGGCGTGACCATGCGAACATCCAGAGGCATCTTCTGCCAGTTTGCGCGGCCGCGTAACGCATCTCTGTTGGGAGTATCTTCCGGGATTGGCACCTCGGGTGCGCTGGGCTGGTGATGCACGCCCGCTGCGGGTCGCTGGAAACTGGCCTGCAGCTGGAAGATCAAAGCGCCACTTTGCCAGGCCGCCACGTTCCTTACTGCAAAGTTGCGACCTTCTTTGCTGCGGGTGACGTGGAATTCAATGTCGGCATCGGGACGCCCTGGCCTTAGAAAATAGCTGTGCAGAGAATGAATCGGGAATTGCGCGACCGTGCGCATCGCAGCCATTGTCGCCTGGGCGGCAACCAAACCGCCAAACAGGCGCTCGTTTGCGGTTACCCCGCCACTGCCCGCACCTCCAAGGTAGACGTCCGTATCACCTGGATTGAGCTGCAGGCGCTGGATCAGGCGTTGCAGCATTGCAACGGGTTCAGTTTTTTGTGTCATGCATCAAAGCTCGGTTTGCGGCGTTGAGATTTAGTCTGGCCGCGCTGTTTTTTGCTGTCGACCCGCTTGCGTTTGGCGTTCAGGCTTGGCTTTGTCGGGATTCGTTTTTTGGGTGTTTGTGACGCCGCGTGCACCATCTGCTGTAACCGATCCAACGCGTCTTTACGGTTTTTTAGCTGGGAGCGGAAAGTTTCCGCCTGAATGATGAGCTCACCCTGCTTGTTGATTTTGCCGCGCTGCTGCAGCGCGAGACGGCGCCCAACTTCCGGGCGCAGGCGCAGTGCATTCAGGTTCACGCGTAACTCGACGGCGGTGGAGGTTTTGTTGACATGTTGTCCGCCGGGCCCCGAGGCCTGCACAAAACGGAACTCTAACGCGTCATCTGGAAAAGGATGTTGCACACTCATGCATATAGAGTAACCGGTTGCCAGTTATCATCGAAGTGTTGAGTGTTTTTAAATACCCGTACGTTGTCGGTTGGGCTCAACGGCTGTCGTTTAACTTCATGCACGGTTGGCTCCAGTTCAAAGCCATGTACCTCATCATCGTGCAGGTCTACCAGGCTGAACCCGGGCCGATGGTGGCCGCGCAGGGTACCGGCGTTGAGAAGGGTTAATGCATCAAAATGAATCAGCGTTCGATAGTGCAGATGCCCGTTCACCATTAAAGGCGTATTGCCCTGAGCGATGATGTCATCCAGTCGGCTGCTGCGTTCAGCTGGCATACGCTGGGTGCCTGGCCAGATTTTCTGTAAATCATTACTGCCTACACCATGGCAAAGCAGTAAAGTGCCCAGCTTCGTTTCCAACTCAATCTGCAGGGGAAGGTCCTGCAGATAGGTGATGACATCATCATGCAGCGTATCGCGGGTGTGCGCATCAGGAATGTGGCGGGCTTTATCCTGCAGAACCCAGCGGTCGTGATTACCGCGCACGGTTTGCACGTCATAACGCTGCAGAAGTTCGATGCAGGTATGGATGTCGCCGGGACCGTCAGCGATATCTCCGGTACATATGATGCGATCTACGCCCAGGCTCGTTAAGTGAGCCAATGCCTGGCGCAGATACTGATCTTGTGCATGGACATCACCGATGATGCCGATACGGCTGAGCATGGATAAAACCTCTATCGATAACCCGTGATATGGCAATCTTGTTATGGTGGCATCCTAAGCGGCGTGTCGTTAGCATTTTGTGAAGGCTGGCACGGGAAGTTATTTTGCCTGCCGCGGTCCAATGGCGCCGGTGCCGGCATGGGTTTGCAAGAGGGAAGTTTATGGATATGACATTTGCCTTGAAGGCATTTAGTTTGATGGTTGAGATATTCGTCATGCTGCTGGGTATTGGCGTGCTGGCGGTGATCGTCATGTACATAATTGATCGCACCCAGAAGACCCACGCCGTGCGGCGTAACTTTCCGGTGATTGGCCGCTTCCGCTATGTCTTTGAACACCTGGGCGAATTCTTTCGCCAGTATTTTTTTGCCATGGATCGCGAAGAGATGCCGTTCAATCGCGCAGAAAGATCCTGGGTGTATCGCGCGGCAAAAAATGAAGACAGCACCGTTGCCTTCGGTTCTACGCGCGATCTTCGCCCTGCCGGTACGGTACTGTTTGTGAACTGTCCTTACCCCACGCTGGAAGAAGATGCGCTGGCGACTTCATCTATTGTTTTTGGGCCTCATGTGAAAAAACCTTACGCAACAGACTCGGTTTTTCATATCTCCGGTATGAGTTTTGGCTCCATTTCGAAACCTGCGGTACAAGCCCTGTCGAAAGGTGCAAAAAAGGCCGGTATCTGGATGAACACCGGCGAAGGCGCGCTGTCCCCCTGGCATCTGGAAGGTGGCGCCGACATCATTTATCAGATTGGCACGGCAAAATATGGTGTGCGCGATGCAGCCGGTCATTTAAGTGACGACCGCTTACGTGAAGTGGCGGCGCATGAACAGGTGCGTATGTTTGAAATTAAATTAAGTCAGGGTGCAAAGCCTGGCAAAGGCGGCATTCTGCCTGGTGAAAAAGTCACTGCAGAAATTGCCAAAATCCGTTTCATCAACGTAGGTGAAGACTCTATCAGCCCTAACAGGCACCCTGAGGTGGAGTCTGCTGACGATCTGCTCGATATGATTAATCATGTTCGTGACGTGACCGGTAAACCAACTGGATTTAAAGCGGTTATTGGTACTTATGGCTGGCTCGACGAGCTGTGTGATGCTATTCATCGGCGCGGCATCGAATCAGCACCGGATTTCATCACCATCGACAGTGCTGATGGTGGTACGGGTGCTGCACCAGCCAGCTTGATGGACTATATGGGCTTGCCTCTGAAAGAAAGTCTGCCCCTGGTGGTCGACGTCCTGATTAAACACGGTTTACGAAAACGTATCCGCGTTGTGGCCAGCGGTAAGCTGGTAACACCGGGACAGGTTGCCTGGGCGATATGTCTGGGCGCAGATGTGGCGGCGACCGCGCGCGGCTTTATGTTTTCGTTAGGATGTATACAGGCGCTGCAATGTAACAAGAATACCTGTCCAACGGGTATCACTACACATGACAAAGACCTGCAGCGCGGCCTGGATGTGACGGATAAAGCCGAGCGGGTTTATCAATATGCCAAAAACATGCGTAAAGAAGTAGGTATCATTGCGCACTCATGCGGTGTGCCGGAGCCGCGTCGATTGCAGCGTTTTCACTGCCACATTGTGCAGGATAACGGTCGTTCTGCGTCCCTGGATGAATTGTATCCGGCGCCAGTCGATGCGCTCGTTAATCAGTAGAGGTCAAATATGGATATTGTGTTGTGGTGTCTTTTTGCAGGGGTTGTACTGCCCTACGTATGGGCTTTTGCATCGGTACCTTTTCGGAGTCGACAACTGGGTGTAGTGGATTTAGCGCAACCTCGACTGCAGGCCCAACAACTCACCGAAGGTGGGGCGGGTGCCTGGGGTGCGCAACTCAATGCCTGGGAAGCGCTCGCAGTTTTTATGGCGGCAACGCTGGCTGCTTATATGCAGGGCCTCGACCCAACAGGTAGCTGGGCGACCGCAAGCCTCATCTGGGTGG